ATTAAGTAGATTTATGGATCATCATAAACTTCTTAAATAATGAGGCTTTATTAAGTTAGATGCAACAATTAACTATATTGTGAGACACTATTAATGCATTGGTATACAAATTTTGGCTTTATTTTGACATATCTTTACTTTAATCCAAACATAATTAGTCCCATTTGGACACCACTGACCAAGTTAAACATGAGATTTTTGGATAACTTCAGTCTCACTTCTCTAATGCAAAAAATGCTTTCACATATCCTCATTTACTTTGTTAGGCTAAATTCACCCTTTTATATAAACACTTTCAACCCACTCTAGTGATCTCTTATCAAAACAATATCATGTTAGTGTCATAGAAAGGAGTTATTACCATACAAAGATGATGGGGGTATTTTAAACATTTATACTTTTCCATTTATCTCTCTTGTAGTCTTTATGTGAAGTGCTCCCATGGTTAATCTAGGTGCTTATGATCTCATGATTTTCTTGTTTAACAAATTATCATTATCTAAATAGTGGTTATTCCCCAAATAAAGTTATGTTAATGCATCGACTTAAAGCACATTAGTGCCTAATAACTTGACAGAGCAAAGGGTGATACAAGTTCAAACTGCTGTTATTTATATGTATAGTGAGGATCAAGATTTTTATGACCTACACATAATTAATTCTCATTAAAAATGAATTTTATCATCAGCATGAAGTGAAGATATCAACCTTATTGTTATGGGTCTCCTTTATGTGTTTTGATGTTATGCACCAACTATTATACTATTTTGTTGATGAGTTAAGTAAATACCAATATAAATTTGATGTTGTTACTAATTATGGGCTCTGATAAAGCCATACTAAACTTTTTGGAATATAGAATTTATTGAGCCAAAATTACCAAAAGCTAATCAACACATGCCTAATTATTAGGAATAAAAAGTGATAGCATATGATTTATAATGGAATCATAACTTTAAATATAAGGAAAGCATATTATATAAAAGTATGGAAAGAAAATATTATTTTAGTATGGTGGAATAGAGAAAAAGTTTTTTTTGGACAATATGAAACTAGTCATTAGCACTCAAATAAGAATACTATGAATTTATAGTTCAAAAAAACTAATGCATAAATTATGGAATCAATAAATATTAACTTAAAATCCATTAATCTGCCTAACCATTTATTTAATGAAAGGAACAAAAAAAAAGAGTAATTATAGGACTTGAGCAAGTCATGAAAACTTGTGTGAGCCAAGGATGCTACTTATGAAAAAGCATCCTTAGTGGTAACAATTTTCTTAAGAAAATTTTAGCTTACTAGAATTTTTCTCTACATTGTTGGTGGCTGAGCCTTTTGTTTTATTTACACTAATTTTAGACACACTTTGATTTATTTTGAAAATTTTTCTTATATTTAGTATACTAGCTCAAACACTTTAGTGGGCTCAATCGTCATTTTTTTCCTCTTGTTTCTTTTTATCTTATCTTACATTTGACATCTAGTGCTAATATAAGTATAATACTACATATAGATGGTAATGCTTATGTCACTTTCTACCAATCAAAAGTAAAAGGGTTCCTCAGATTTTCTAATAAAAATGGTATTTCTTATAACCTTGTGTATATCCAAAAATGAATTTTAAGTAAAATGAAAACTCAACTGCTAAATGGTCCTTATGGGGCGTAATGGAGTAAGCCTATCATTTGTGAATTTAGTAGTCTGATGTTGACAATTTCAATCGTACTCATTAGTTAAACATTTGGAAGTGACACGACTTAGGTCTCATTACTGTTCAGAAGGATTTTGTGAGTACCTTCAAAGTACATCGCCATTCCAATGAGTTCCTCATAATGGGTCAACCCCATTTAGATCATCACGCAAGCATTTCTACCAAACTAGCCTATATTATACCAGTCTATGTTCCTTACTCATACGAATTGGTTGAAGATTCTCATCAAACTTGCTTACTAGTTGTAACACAATTGAGCTTGGGAAGCAGCTCACTAAGGTAGAGTGAAGAGAATTTCCACCTGTTAACATATATTCCATCATTTATTAAAAGTATTAAATTTTACTAGGAGTTTTATCGACAATGAGTCTACTTAAGCTCCATACTACAACAGCATATAACCTAGTTTTAGGTCTATTTTCTAGACCTCTATGCAGAAACATATGCTCTTGATTATATAAATAAGAAGGAAGGAGGGAATAACGATTTTTTATTCTTCCATCTCTCTCTCTCTCTCTCTCTCTCTCTCTCAATTGCACACCCCCAAAAAACTCTGTAAAATCATCAACTTTTTTTCACTTTCTTTAGAATCTCTCCCGGATTATATGAGTCTACGAATTATACGAATCTCATAACTTAAAGGGTTTCGAGATCATGGTACTTAAATATTGATAAATTTGATAAATAATGAATAGTAATTTGAAATAGATGACAAGTATTTATGATCCTTGCTATCATAATTTTATCCTTCTAACTGTACAGTTTAGTGAACTTGTTAGGATGAATCTTTTCAGGAATTAAGTGGCGTTTGAAAGTAATTCTTTTGACATTATGCATCAAGAGGCACACAATGACTCTTCATCTTTCCACATTATGGCTTTTCTTACCTAAATAAATGCTAGGCCATTGATGATAATCAAATGAGAAAACTATTCTACGCTCCAAAAGTAATTCTACATGGCAAATTTGTGCTAGGATTAGAGTACATTCAAAATGATCCTACAACTTGCTCTATTTAATACCAGCAATTAAAGTTTTGTATAAATGATCCAAAGTGTTTGTGTTTGGTTCATGTGATTCTTACTGTGATTGGCCAAGATATTTGTTTTCGTAAATTTTTCATCTCTTCTATGTTTGACACGTGTTTTTGAAGTCATGGAACCGTATTTTCTAATACGCATGTTCTCGTGACCCAAAAATTTCCACGAAAATCATTTCGAAGTGAATCGGGCTTAAATTTGACTTGATCATCTACAATATTACTTGAACGACTTTGAATGAAGAAACAGATCGAGCGACTGAATCCAGAATGCCGATTTTACCTATGGTGGATAGTCATATTGATGGGATTTCATGCACCGGTCTCATTCGACGCGATGCACGCAAATTGGAGCCAAACAAGGTCGTTTGTTGATGAAATTTCTCTGAATGATCCCAAACGACAAAACGGACAGCATAAGCACATCCAAAATATCGATTTTGCATAGGAAGGATACCCAAATGATTAAGGTTTCGGGCATAGATCTCATTCGGCACGATGCAAGCAAATTGAGGCCAAATTAGCTTGATCGCCAATGAATTCATTTAAACAATCTCGGATTGCAAAACGGACTGTGAGAACCTGTACGAAACTCCAATTTTACCTAGGGAGAACACTCATATTATTATATTTTTGTACAGCAGTTGATGACACATAAATCGAAGCACCTAAATTTTTTTTTTTAAATTTGATCGAAGGATGCACTTTGATTCGTCTGATTAAATTGATTCATTTCTAGCATTAATTGCACCAAAAACTCTATGAACAGAACCCTGCTACTCTTATGATGGGTGGAGGAGGGAGCTGGAGGTCTCAAGAGAGAGCTTGAAGCTTGAGGGAGGGAGCTTGAAGCTTAGAGAATGAGCTAAAGTTCGGCACCACTTCATCACCGACCACCAGTAGCCACCAATCACCGACCACCATCTGCCAATCGTTGCCTATCACAATCTGTTGCCTCCCACTCTTTGCGCAAACCACCGCGCGAAGCGATAACTGACATCGCTGAGTCACAAAGCAAAAAAAAACAAAGTGAGCATCATCCGGAGCACCAAAATGTCACCCCAAAAACGGTGCAACAATGCTTCTAAATGAACGTGTATTGAGGCACCCTGCATACGCTCATGCAGCTCCCGATTCTGACTCCCATTACCTTCGGAAGTGACCAATATTTGTCACTACGGTCTACGTGGTTCACACCTTGTGCAGCTCCCGATTACCCCCCAACCCCCCGCACTCCAACCAAGCAATTCACGGACGTCACTACTACTCACCACTACGTTTTATGCGATCAACTTCAACCTATATGATCCACATCCCCCGCAACTGCCTACTATGGTTTTTTTGGCCAATTAACGCTCATGGAGCAATCATCTACAACACACGCGATGAATTATTACCTCCACAACTATCGATTATGACATTTGCAGACTGCTATCGCCAAAAACTATAGTCAGATTAATGTTATAGAACTTTGTAATTCTATCTTCCCTAATTCATGAGAAGAGTGAACATATGTACTCATCATTTATAATGGACTATTTCAACTAGGGCAAACCCCATGGGTTTTTCCCCTTTCAAGGGTTTTCCACAAAAAAAAAAAAAAAAATCGACGTGTCTCCTCCTATTTGCTTCTCCTCTTTTATATGAGCGCGTATTGAATTCTCGTGCAACGTTAAGGTAATAATCTATTACACTACCGCCACGACTCTTCTAGCAAACATCATTTATATTAAGTAATTTATTTTTATTGTTCTTCTATTCATTTGTTCTATTTATTATTTTATCATAATACTATTTTAATGTAATATTATTTTCTCTCTTTTATGTCGAATAAGCCGACTTATCGGTTCAAACTCATAAAATTAATCAAGTTCGAAGCTCAAAATGGAGAATGATTACAGATTAAATCAACTCGTTTACACCCCTTGATATAACATACCATGAAAGAATGTCCAGATATATTAATGTCATTTTGTGTACTATTTTGTCTCGAGTAAAAAGTTTGATAATATAATAGTAACAAGCAATGAATGAAAATAGAATAAAAAAATGTCATTTTGACTCCGGAACATGTCGAACTTATCCCCAGCTGCATCAATTTCAGAATAATCCGGATTACCATAATCGGACAAGTAGCCCACCAAGATCCGCCCCTCGTTCCGCAACCAACGGTTCTGATCCATTCTTTATTACCAGAGACGTTTCATTACATCCATTTCTGTCAATTCTAAGCTTCTATAAAACGCCTCTGAAGCCAACTAATGCAATTTTAGCCGCAAAAACAACAGAGGCATCGGAGCAAGCAAGTCGACAGCGACAACAGAGAGTATCCTGCCCCTCGACTATAAGATTCCGGTGATCTGATCGTCCTCTTCAAGGTGCTAGCTCGCTGCAGCTTTGCTTTCTCTTCCAGCTCCGCCCCGCTGACAGTAAGCGAGGCTAGACGTTCCTAAATCGAGATCCAGTGCATGATGGGGTTTTCCTTGTTCCGGATGAAAACGTCGGCTCGATTGCTGTGGAGCACCAGCTTCTTTCGCCACAAGTTCATCGTCTTCTTCTGAGAGAAACCATACCGGTTGGAGATCCTAGTATCTAACGTTACTATATTCAAGCAAGATAAACTTTCTGCACCAGTAGCAGGTGGAAGAGGGGAGATCTTTGCAGCACTCTCTCCGATCTGAGACTTAATCATGGATTCCCGCCATCTTATTTTCGATTCGTCTTCGTCCCACGCCGGACACATGCTCTTTCTTGGTGGCTCTGGAAGTCAAATCTTCCGAGGTATGATTGATTACCCCCAGTTTTTTCGGTTTCCGATTTTGGAGGAATTTAAGTGGGAATTTGGATTTGGGATTAATGAAGGAGCGAGATCGGTTCTTGGGTTTGAGGATGGCGCGAACAAGCGGCGTCCCTTTTTCACCACCGCAGATGAGCTTTTGGAAGAGGAGTACTACGACGAACAGCACCCGGAGAAGAAGCGCCGCCTTACCACCGAGCAGGTAATCCCCCGTTCATCTCCACTCAGATCGGGCTTAACTAATGGCCCAGATTCATCCAACTATGGAATAATTTAATGTCCCACTTGAGGGTTCTCTGTTTTTTCTCCCCTTTTGATCCACTGGGTGTTGACTTTCTGAGAATTTAATTATCGAATTCATTACTCTCTCCCTTTATCGTTTTGTTTGTGTATGCTGAATAAGTGGCGAGTGATTTTTCTTTAATTGGCCGAAAAGCAATCAAATAGTTCATGATAATTGTGGCTGGTGATTGAAAAGGTGCAATTACTAGAGCGGAGCTTTGAGACGGAGAACAAACTGGAGCCGGAGAGGAAGAGCGATCTGGCGAAGAAGCTGGGGCTGCAGCCCCGGCAGGTGGCGGTATGGTTTCAGAACCGCCGGGCTCGGTGGAAAACAAAGCAGCTCGAGAGCGACTTTGATCGTCTCAAATCCTCCTACGACGCGCTGCTCGCCGATCACGACTCGCTTCTGAAGGATAACGACCGCCTCCGCTCGCAGGTACGACCTTCTTTTCCAGTTAGCGGTGGGCGTGCCGCTCCACCTGCATCAACATTTCCCACTAAATGAGCATCTTTTTCGGTATTCGCTCTGGTTAAACCTTGGGAAAGTACCGTTGTTCTTTCTTCCAGGTTCATAAAAAGTTTCAAAATCTGGACATTATAAATATTTATTTAATTGCCGTCCGATTGCTCTGTCAATTTGGGATTCTTTTTTCCTAATTAGAATAGTGCAGACTTGAAAATATGCTTAAAATTATTTTATTAATAGTCAAATATGAAAATTTGAGATTCAATTATAATTCAATGAATTGTAGCCGTAAGTTTTAACGAATTTCTATTAAAAATGTGTAAGGTTTTGGCGAAATATTTGAGTTTCACTCTAATTTTTTATGGCACTTGCTTAAAAACCTCAAATTTGCGTGGAAAACTACTGGAAGCTAAGCGAAATTACTAAGATCCGAAACTGTTTCAATCGCCAAAACAAATCTACATAAACTAAAAGCAATGGTTTGAAGATATAAAATATGAAACATATTTACAAAATGATGATTTTTCTTATGTTGTATTTAAGGATGAAAAGATCACTGCATCACAATAAATAGACCCAGCTCATTGGTTGTGAACTTCATCTTCATCTATTCGATTTTGTGCTCAAGCGTTGGTAGATTAATGGATGCGTGAATTTGACTTGATAAGGCTCAACATTCTTAAGAAAAAGAAAGATTTTGAAGGTATTTGTAAAATTTAAAATCTTTATTTAATAACTACATTCAATTAAACAACTTAAAAAAACATCTCTAACTTCTAATTAAGAAATCAAGTCTAAATTTCAACACTTTTCTCTGATCTTTATGCTAGCGAAGAATTTGTGAGAATATAAATATAAATTAAAATCGATAATTAACTTCACAATCCAATAAATACCCCCATTGTTAGTCCCTCGAAAAGAGATCCACCGCCAAAAAAAATTGAAAATAAAAGTCCAGTCTTTGGCGATGGCAGGTGGTAACTTTGACAGAGTTACTCCAGAATGAACTGGGGATAATGGGGCCGAAGCGAACTGAAGACCTGAAAGCAACCTTACTTACCGAGGGGGAGAAACTCTCGTCTCCACCACCCGCTCCGTCGCAGCAGAAAGGGGAAGACAGGCTTAGTTCTCAGAGCAAAGGACGCACATTAGAAGATGCTGAAGGCGCCGCCGCTCTTCAGGTAGACAGTAGCGGGGACTCTTACTTCCAAGAGAGCCTGATCGAGGGTAACGCCGGCTGCTACATCGGCGAGATCCAGGGAGCAATTTGCTCTGAGGAGGACGCTGTCAGCAGCGATGATGGCTGCAGCTATCTCCCCCGCGGCATGTTCGTGGAGGCTTCGGAGGAAGATAACTGGTGGGTTTGGAGCTGAACGAGAATGGATGCAGGCTCTGGTTTGTGTTTCCATTCCCACTCTGTGCTTACAATGAAACTGTTTTAAGAGCTGTAGTTTGGATCCGTTTGTGATTGTTGTTGGTGTTTTGTGAATTTGATTTGCTGTTTGATGTATTGTGCTGTAATGATATGAATGCCTCCAATAAAGGTGTTTTGGGGAGAACTGTTTGTGATCCTATAATCTACTGTTATTTTCGGTTCACCTCCCTCTTCTTCATATATTATGCCCGGGAAAAGGAATATAAATAAATAGCATAAAAATATAATATTAAATATAGATTTATTTCAATATTTTATACTCCATAATTGGCTCATGAGCTGAGCTCCATGAGCTAACAAGACAAGCTCCAGCCAGAAAGTGAACCCATTTAAAAACTAATTAATATGAAATATACCTAAAATATATGAAAATTTAAGAATTTATTTTTAAATGATTAAAGTTATATTAAAAGTGATATTAATATTTCATTTGTTATTTTTATTATAACTTAAATGTTCAAATGAATGAGGGGTTGAATTTAAGCCGACTCAGTTACGGCTGTAATTGGAGGATGCGAAGGCGACCATGATGCTCGCCTGTTCTGTCCACTTCTGGATCATGGCACAGCTCGACTACTGGTAGCTTGGTGATTTGATGCTTGACAGACGCCAAAAGGCAAGTTTTTGATTTAGTTTTTGTTTATTTATTTATTTATTTATTGGTTTTTTTCTGTAAAATAGGACGCTTGTTAACCTTTTTTTTTTTTATAATAGTTTAGAATTCCTAAAGGCCGCCCATGTGCTCCTGTCTGCGCAGAGAATACATGCGGCAATGTTAAATTATTCTCTCCACTAAATGCTGAACTCTAACCACTAAATCTGAACTTTATTACATTTTAATTGGTTCATATATATTCATAAATAAATTTGGTTATTGTTTCATAAATAATTTATTAAATACTGTATAATTTTATGATAAGTTATATTATGATATATTATTTAAATAAAAATCAATCAACTAAAAAATTTTAAAAATTAATCAACTAAAATTTACTTTGTTTTATATTCAATAAAATATAATAACTTAAAGTCAATATTTTTTATAATTTAATAAATTTTATTCTATCTTTTTTATTTCAAAGAAATAATTTATTTGATACATCTTCAACAAATTTTTATCATTCAACATAAATTTTTGAGGCATAATAGCTCAAAATCACTCAACTTTGACATCGTTAATGCACTAAATTGTTCACAGAGCACCGTCTGATTAAGAGAATCTCCCCAGGCCATCTGAATAGAGCAGTTCAGATTCCATCTTTATTTTCGATTTACACTCTATAAATAGAGTCATACCGCCCTAGAGAGGAATACCTATAACTGGAGACAGAAGAAGACCGGAGTTAAAGAAATAACTGAAACTCAACATTGTTTCTACACGGAAGAATCAATGAATTTCTCCCACTCCTACAGACGCCGAAAATGATCGATCACCACTTATCGGTCTCCATCTACAACCATCGACTGCCCTCTCCAATCGACTGCCACTTGCTCATTGCATCGAAGTCACTTGTGGAGTCACAATATGCATTGCAGAATCCTAGTGTATGTTACAGAATGATGATAGACCGACTGAGCGATATGTCATCAAGTACACAGTGCAATGACGCACCTCGAAGATGTAACGACGTGCCTTGAATACGGTGCAACAATGCATCTCGAAGATAGTGTAACAACGAACCTCAAATACGATGCAACAACACATCTAAATGATGGTGTAACAACACACCTCATATACGGTGCAAAGCGCCTTTTAAAGATGTTGTAATAATGCACCCCAAAGATTGTGACATTTTCTTTACTCTTAAAGCTCTCGCCTTGCAGTCCATCACTATAGCCTACGTGACCAACTATGGTCTACGTGGATCATAGCTTGTGCAGTTCCCGACTCCAACTACTACGACCTACCGATGTCACAACAACTCAGCACTAAGGTCGTATGAAAAACTATTTCCGACATGGTTCACAACTCGTGTAGCTCCTAACTCCTGCTTTTGCCGCCTACGGACATCATCGCAGTACCACTATGGCCTATGAGATTAACCATAACCAACATGGTCTATATCTTGTGCAACTTCCAACTCCAATCTCTGCGGCCTACAAACATCATCACAGCTCACGAATACAGTCATCGTGACTAACAATAACTTGTGGCTTTCAACTTATGCAGTTCCTGATTCTCACCTCTGTGGTCCATAGATATTATCACAACTCGTAAAACTCCCAACTCTATCATATGCAGCCTACACATGTTATTGTACAGCTCCCGAATCCAGCCCTTGTATCCTAAGAACATCATCAAAGCTCACCACTACAGCTTATGTGACCAGATACATATGTCCCACATGATTCATAGTTCATGTAGCTCCAAAAACTGGCCTCTGTGGCCTACGGAGGCCATCAAAACTCCTAACTCCAACCTATAGCATTCAGATGTCGTCACAGCTCACCACTACAATCTATGTGACCAATCACAGTCTATGTGGTCCACAGCTCATGCAGCACCTGACTCCGGCTTTTGCGGTTTACTGTTATCGTCATAGCTCATCACTACGATCAACATGACTAACTACAGTCTACATGGTGCACAGCTCGTGCGGCTCTTGACTCTAACCCCTGTGGCCTACGACTGTAATCACAGCTCACTACTATGCCCTATATAACCAATTACGATCTATGTGGCAAACGACTCATGGAGCTCCCAACTCCTACATCTGTGGCCCACATGACCAACATCAACTTACGTGGCCCACAACTTATATAACTACCAACTTTGGCCTATATACTGTACTGGTGTTATCACAGCTCAACACTACGAATTATGTGATTAACTACGTCCTACGTGGCTCACAATTCCTACCACTTCCAACTACGATATTTGTGGCAAATTTATGCTTCTGAATCAACAATGTAAGACACACAGGTCCAAATACTAATGTGGCTTTCAACTACGGCTTATACGACAAGCTAGAGTTACAACTATAGTCTATAACATTTGCGGCGAGCTACTGCTCTCAATAGCAATCTACTATGACCCTTGCATTTTGCTATCACCGAGAAGTTTATCCAGTATAAATATACTTCCACTATTACAATGATCAACTTTGTACTCCATCTTCCTTGATTTATTAAAAGAGTAAACATGTGTACTCACTATTCATAATTGATTATTTCAGTTGTACCAGGCCCCATGATTTTTCCTTTTCTAAGTTTTTCAACATAAAAGTTAACGTGACTCCCTATATTTCTTTTTAATTGCCTGAATGTGTGTTGGGTTTTGGAACAATGCTAATAAGATAATTCATTACTCTACCGTCGTAGACCTTCTAGCACGCATCGATACTTATTTCTATCAGAACTTATTATAACAAGGGCTAAGGAGCACATGAAATGATTATTTTAGTGATACGAGCTTACGAGAAAAATATCAAAAAAATCCTCTTGGTAAAATCATTTTTATTTAAATTTTTTTTAAAAAAAAATGTTTTAGCAAAAGTCATTTTCTATTTAATTAGTTATCATATATATTATTTATAATTTTACCAAACTTAAAATGTAAAATTTAAAAAAATTAAATTAAAACTAGAGTAATAATTAAATAGTTAATTGCATAGATGCATATGAAATATAAATTACGTATAGAGCTTTAATTGAGCCGAGTAGATAGTGATTTAAAATTGGCTTGATCGTATTATAGTTAAACTGTTCAGGCTTGACTCTTGCCCAAGCAAAGCCTTATATATATATTTAAATCACACTTATTTAGTGTCTGATTTGTTTATATTAATTAAATGAATATTTTAATTAGTTAATCATATTAAATTAATAACGAATTATTTTACATTTTTAAACAGATAAGTAATTCAATAAAATTTAATTTATATGAAATGATTTCACACCAATTAAATAATAATATAGTATATAAGTTGTTAGCACACTTCTATCCAATCCAATAATATAATAAACATTTTTAAAATATCATTAATATTATATTTAATAAATTATAATTAAACAAAATTTAGATGAATAAGATATAATGTAGCCTAACATCAAGCATTTAACTGCTTGCTTAAGAACAAATAAATTTATTTAAATGCTCTTTAGTAGTTTCATGATAACTAAATAAGCTTGAATAAATTTAGAGATGAAATCAAAAAAATTAATAATATAAGCCAAGTTTAATCCACAACATACTCTGCTCGACTTGAGTTGATTGCAACCCTACTACCACTCGTTGTTAGTGTCCTTTATTCGCCCCCAGCCATGCAATTGGTGCTGTCAATGTTTTCCCCGAGTAAGCTTGACACAAGAACTCACCTTCCCTTTCACACACCAACAATCCCGTTGATGCCCGCCCACATCATGAACTTGTCACTTCCTGGCATGTGGCCAATCTCTTTGATGCATGCCCACATCAAACTCTCATGCTTGCCCGCCCATTGAGCTGATTTATGATGCCAATTTGTGATTTCTTTTTCTTTTTAACACATTGTAAATATTCAAACTTCTCTTGTTCTTCAAATGATGTTGATCTCTCCAATGTATGTCTTACTAACTTTATTTTGTGATCTCATGGGGCAAAAGAGTGTATTCAATCTCATACTAAATATTGAGAGAACTAGATAGGGGTCTTAATTCGAACTTGATTTTGAATACTAGAATTTGAATAATTTCATGTCAATTTGGTATGCATTCTCCTTCAAAAAATGCTTGAAAAAAAAAAAAAATAGGTTGTCGGTCATGGGGTAATTTCTTATTTTAAAAAGAAAATAATATAAAATAAATAATTTCTTATTTTAGCGCTCTTCAAAATTAGATTTTGTCTTCTACATATTCAATCTTTTTTTTTTGTTATGAATAATTTTTTCAACTTCGTAACTATTTCTAATGTTAAACTATTTGACTTTGATGTAGCATGAAGTTTTTGGTTGAATCATTTGATTATTTAAATTTCAAGCTCATATATTGAGAATTCTTGTGCATTTTTATATTTCTCTATAATTAGTTCCTTATTCTATATAAATTGAATGTCAATCATGTAAATTGAGATTCAAAACATATAGACTGAACACATAATTAGAATTTATACACACTAGGCTATTAGTACATGTATAGAGTCGATCA